TGTAACTGGTTTAAAACTGTTTTATGGTCGATTTTTAGCTCCTGGGCGATGTTACGATTGCTAACATGCCGGTCAACGTCGATCATTTCTCCGATTTTATCGACATTTTCGACGACCGGCCTACCTGTGCGAGGTGCATCTTTAACATTAAAAATTCCTGAACGGAATCTATGAAACCAAAATTGCACATAATTGGCTGTTACAGTATCGGAACCATAAACACCATTCACAATTTTAGCCGCCTGGCTTGCATTTTCGCCTTTGTAAAATGTACCGAATTTTCTCTTTGTTCACTTCCATTTTTAACACGCTGTAAGTCACAACTGAATGCACCAAACAAAAAACAGCAAAAGAATTTTTTTTACTGCGAAATGTCACCTTTCCAACGAGCATAAATATGAAATTGTTTTATCGATACTTTACGAGAAATCTATCAGTGCAGCCATCTACCGAAAAAATAATGGATTTCTTTTTCCCCAAACTAATATTATTGCTTTAATATGGCGATGCATTTAGCATTTGACAGCATTTTCAAACGCTGAACCTCATAAATTTCACTGCGAAATTACTTTCATAGCAATATCCATCTGGATACCATGTCCAAGTCTAGTCATGTTCACTTAACTGAATTGGCGAATTTTCACAACGGCCGAATGGTTAAATGTTTTTTGATGTATTTTTCTTTTTTTTTTGTATAAAACTAACCTCGAGACTGCAATTTATAGAAATACAAAAGTAGATTGGATTTATGCGGAAATTTTTAAAATAAATTCTTCAAACATTTGCATCTATAAAAACAAATTATAAGACTTTCTGGTAAGAGAAAAGTATTTAATTGTTGAATAGCTTAGCTCTCAGATGCGATAGCTAGCGGCCACTTCCATTCTTCACGTGAACGCTGGATTACAAAATCGCTACAATATCCATTTGTTAAATAATAAGCGAACGCATGCGTTTTGATCAGCGATATCTATCGGTGTAATTGATAAAGTAATGAGAAGTATCGATGCACAGTTTTTCATTTAGTGTTGCTGACTTATTCAGTACATTGTTATAAAATTCGCTTTTGTAAGATACAGTCCGTATCACGGGACCATGGATATTTTGTTCAAGAGAAATACACTTCAAACTTCTTTTATTTACAATTATATTCCTTAAATGTAGAATTATTCATATGTTACTATACCTAATATTATGGTTTTATTTTTAATCCCAGCCTGCTTTTCCTCTAATCGTCTTCAATGGCCTGCAGCTGCATAACGTGGCTGCGAATGTGCACTTGGATTTTATCTTACTGCTTTCCCGCTAATCGTTTTGGTCGGCCTGCAGGTGCATGACGCACATGCGAATGTGCATTTGGTTTTTCCTTTGTTAGGGAATTTATTGTTAGGGAAAATTACTTAGCTGGAATTAACTGGATTTGGGATTTTCGTAACAATGTATAGACACCAATCATGGAACATCCACAATTGCATTTTCAAAATTCATCACTTTTGTTGTTTGATTTGACGAAATTCTCTGCTGAAGCTCGTCACTTTTAGGAGCTTATGGGGATGCTGCTCCATCATATTCCAACTGTCTAAAATTTGTGAAAGTGATGATTTTGATGTCAATGACAAAGGAAGAAGCCCTGGAAAACAAAAAAATATTTCCAAGACAACGAATTGCAAGACATTTTGGTTGAAAACACAGCTCCAGCTCTTAAAGAACTTTGGAAGAGGTCACTAATCGATGAATTAACTGTTTTTACATTTACTTGCGGTGCGGAAAATCAAAAAGGGTAGAAAACGGCTGCCATTCGAATTGACTGGAAATGCCCTTTCCAAACGTGTGAATATCGTTTACTACGGCGTATCGCGATTGGCGATGAAAAATGGATCTACTACGACAATCTCAAGCATAAAAAGTCATGAATTAGTATAAGAGAGCCATCCTACACATAGCCGTAAAGTTTCCCTGCGCATATGGTGGGATCAGAAAGTCGACGAACATTGCCAAGGATACACTGTTGCAGATCAAATGGAAAGTTCTGCCACACCCGGTGTACTGACTAAGTATAGCGCCTTCTCATTACCACTTGTTCAGTACCACTGGTATCGCCTCATCGCCAAGAGGATGCGAAAATGCGGTCGAAAACGATGGAAAATATTTTGATTAATATACATTGTCCGCATGAAAAAATCGAGAACATATGATCAAATTCCATGCAATCACCTAATAGTACATCGTGTTTGCTATCAGGGTTCCTAGGGAAAACATTCATCACACTCCTAGATTTTGCTCGTGATTATAGGGCATCAGTTAGATTTTACGTATGCGTATTTAGAGCTTGTAAAAGAGTAAAGTAAAATTGTCTATGAAAACCCCAATTATGTGACGCTGGGCTGTACACATACAAGGCGTGTTCAAAAGAAAAGGTGACTTTTCAGATTTTAAGGACTAGGTACCATTGACTTTTGATTTTTTTTTTTTTTTTATGTTAGTACATATGTCCCCAACGTCCGCTGACAGTATCAACAATTTTGCATTTTCAGTTTGTTTTTGACATATATAAAGGTTAAAATTGTTCTGATATGCTTGGCGATAATTTGCTATTGAATAAAGCAGATCAAAAAATCTGTATTAAATTTGATGTGAAAAATAAAATTGAGCGCTCTAACTTACTTAAAATGTTGATTTGTGCGCGTCTACTTTGAGCAAAGAAAAGGTTTTTAAGTGCTGCGAGCTCTTTACAGAAGGCCGAGAAGATGCTAATGACAATGTCCGCCGTGGATACTCCCGCGTCCGCGTTAACAACCGGCGGAAACGTTAAAGCAGTGTAGAAAATTGCTATAGAGAATCATCGAATCATTATTAAAGAAGTTGCTGAGGATGGCTGCATGTCGTTTGGCTCATGCTATGTACTTTTTGCGGTTGTTTCTGGCATAAAACTTGCGGTAAGAAATGCGCCAGCTCACAAATATTGCATGTTTGTAATTTTTTGGCCAAAACCAACACCATAATCATGCTTCAGTTACCCTATACAACGAACTTGACCACATGTAACTTTTCCTCTTCCTGGAGCTCAAAAGACCCTTAAGGGGAAAGGGAGAAAAATAGATATAGATGAATAAATAACTGTATTTTCGAGAAAAATAAAAACCAGCCTGGAAGAGAACGAGTTAAGTAATTCAAGGGATTTTTTTAGTAAAATGAAATTTCTTTTTCAAAAAATAAATATTTAGCGCCAGTGGTATCTAAGGGAGAAATTATTGAATTCGTAAATTTAGATATTCATCAACTTAGTTTTAGAACGTTTTCTCAGAAAAAAAAAGGCTGAGCTTGCAAAAGTTAGATTCAAAATGATAGAACCGCAATTATTAAATTTTAAACGCGATAACAAGCTTCAGTAAAACTTTTTAAGCAACTTTTGATTCTCACACAAAGAGCTAATATTAATTTTAAGGATTATTTTATAATGAAATATTGGAGTTAACTTCAAGTTGATTATCAAGAAGTTTCGTGTAAAGTCGCTTTAGCAATTAGGAGCACACACCAGATTCCTCATATAGTATATAGATAGACATACTAAAGTTGTCGTAAGATTATAAATAGTTATAGTCCTGCCCCACAATCTATTTATCCGTTCGTAAGACTTCTCGCCGCCTGTTGTTGAAACGTAATGTTTATGAAAATTACTATAAAGAAATGAAACTTAATAACACATCCATTGAAATTCGTCTATAACCTCCAGAACGATGATCGGAATTTTGACACATCTGCTTTGAACGTTTATACTACGTAAAAATAATATGACTTCGTCAACAGTGACGACATCTACATGTCATCTAGTACACACATAATTCAGATTTTTCCAAAAACGCGTCTGCACTATAAACTAATGGGCGGATTGTTATAAAACTTTTGCATATTTCGTTTGAACGTTAGTATTATCTAGAAATTATACGAATTTGTCAATAGTGTCGTCATGTATATACCGTCTTACGATCTTTTCGGGTGATAGGCTATGTATTCATAATTACTGATCCACCTGACTGAAAGCAGAGCACAGTAATTAAGAACCTAGAGCATTGATTTACAGAGTGAAAAATTTTTGTAAGACGTATGATCTTTTCGAAAAGTTGAATGTAAAACGTTGGTTTATAACTTAGTTACAGAATAAAATTCCGCGAACTTTTCACATTGACTATATACTTTATTTATGTTCATAGTATTGTTACAGAAATCTTAAATTGAGTTCATTAAATAATGAATTTCCTAAAAATGCAGCTGCCGGCCGATGATAACGATTAGTAGAAAAACAGACAAGGAAAAACCAAATCCACTTTCGCAGGTGCATTATGTAGTTGCCGCGACGAATTAAAAATTAAACTATAAAGTTAGTAACATGATGATAAAAATGTGTATAAATAGAATATTTGTGGAGGGGCGAGTTAGTAGAAAAGAATTTTTGAGTTAAGAAGTCAAAAGTATTGGCCATAAATAAATTTTGAATAGCCCTACATTTAAAGGAATATAATTGTAAATAAAAGAACTTTGGAATGTATTTCCTTTGAATAAAATATGCGCGATCCAGTGATACGGGCGATATTTGAGAAAAGCGAATTTTATAACAGTACTATTGAATTGATTATTTAAGAGGACTAATAATAAAAAAAATTTCTTAACTTAAATACGCTTGTTCTTTTTTAATTGTCCTAATATTGATTGACATAGTTGTTATGTTATAGAAAATGATGAAAAATATTTTGATTCACATACATTGTACTAATTTTACACAATAAATGCCTTTTTTAAGTAAAAAAATGATCAAAATTTTAGCAAGCTCTTAATTCAAAACAATTAGCTGAACGATGAGAAGGCCGAAATGACTTTCTTGCCCACTTAAGAAACACAATGTTTATTAAAGACTTCTATTGTGGTTTATTTGAAAACAACTTAGTTTACTTATATTTCATATGAATTTATTGCAATTTCTTTTTTTTCGGAATGCTTTTCAGGTGATTTACAATCGTGTTCGAATGAAGGTGAAGAAGTTCAAATCGGTATTAAAAATTCCAAATGTTTTAAATGCGCTTGTCAGGTAGGTACTCTTCTTACTTTTTATCTCTTTTGCTCTTTATTTTTATCTTTCCTTTTTTGGCAACTTTCTCTCCCTCTCTCTCTCTCTTTTTTTGTTCTTTTCATCAAACTTATTGTTCTGTGAAAGAATGTTTTGGTTGCGTTGCCAAATTCAAAATGCAACCATGTGCACTTCCCACATGTGTCAAACCTAGCTATAACGATGACACATTTGTACGCATCTACAACCAGAAAGTTCTTTCTATTTTCCCCTCACGACCATTCCTGCTATTCATAAACATACGTTCAGGGGAAACTCAATTTATTCTTTCTTACGATGCAGAGTATGTTAACTTAGTGCGCTCATATGTAACATGTCCGTCTTATGTCTGTCCATGTAAACTTGTGTTTAATTGGTGATGAAATTGGGTACAGTGCCATGTTTTGACCCAAGGGCGAACGCTATTAAATGTGGTTCGGATCAGTACACTTTTTCTACCACTCCCCATATAACGCCCTATTGTGAAAAGTCGTTATATGGAAAAAAATTGTAATTTTCAAAATTTCTCAGTAAAATAGACTAAGTGATAGTATTTCGGCATTCTAAATTGGTATGAAAACTTTCTATCGGCTAGAACAATTTTTGAATGCCCTCATATAACGAAAACTAAAGTTCACACGACAGAAGGGTAGAATTTTCAGTGCATCATGAAAAAAACTTCATGAAGAAAACTGTATCATAATAGTAACTTAACTTGAAATAAATTTTAATTTTAATTTTAAATAAAATAATTAAATGTACCAAATTTGGACTTTCTCAGCCTATTTTTTGGATCCTACCCTAATAAGTATTTTCACGAAAATTGGCCCTTTATAGAGCAGAAAAGTCGAAATTTTAGCATGTAGTGATGAAAATTGACCCACAATGTTTTAGTAATTTCATACAAAAACGAAATCCGCAAAATTTGGACTACCTACACTTATTTTTAAGTTCTGCCTTATGTAAGAATTAGACTTGTACTACATTACGTTGCGTTTTAGGCCCGCCTCTCCATAAATACGCGCTTGAAAAATTTGCCTTTGTATAGATACAAGACATAATTTTTGTGGCTTAAAATATATATAAGAACTACGAAAGACAATGTGGTATAGGGTATATAACAGTCGGACTTGCCCGACTACGATGTTCTTCCTATTTTTTTTTTTTGTTTTGTCGATATTATAAACATATATTTTGGATTTTAAAAGTCGTTTGTCAGGAACGTATATTATATATTGTTAAAAAAAGTATAAAGAAATTAAATTTCGATTGTTGCTAACCTAAAATTCTTGGCAACAAACTCGACAAAACACACTTGACCTGGCCTTTTGCCCATTTTAACGACCCATGAAATGTAAACTTGCAATGGCAATAGAAATCGCAAAAATATGGCAGATAAGTCAAATTCAAATGTTGGATTTTATAATTGAAGGAAAAAAGTTTGCCTTTTTATACCCTACACCATTTGTGCTACAGGGGATATTAAGTTGTATGTAACATGCAGTAGGGCTTAAGAGAAACCCACCTATAATATACCGATCGATTCAGAATCATTATCTGAACTGCTCTAGGCCTGTTTGTCCGTCTTATCTCTGTGCATGTATATTTGTGTTCACGCTATAGGTCATAATTTTTGAAATATTTCGATAAAATTTGGTACGCTGCCGTGTTTTGATTCAAGGGAGAACGGTATTAAAAATGGTACATGCTTGAAAAATATGCTTTTATATAACAACAAGATAAAATTTATGTATTCTATAACAAAAATAGACAATATGGTGGAGCATGTTTTATAATCGGCCTTGCTCGACTATAATGTTCCTGCTTGTTTTCCGGTTTAAAATACATGGACATTAGTTATTTAAAAAACATATACCAATATAAAAAATCTCTTTTCTCGTTAAAATTACTTTACTAGAGTAATAAAGTTTGTTCAATTTTTAATTTTAAAACTTTTTAATAGTCGTTATATAAAACAGTTGCGAAACAGTCGCCTGCCACAGAATCTCAGATAATGTCTAAAAATAGCGAGCGAGTCGTCATTTCATATCGAGTTTGGTAAATACATTTGACAACTCTTCTTAAGCATACTGTTCCGTTTCTTAAGTTATATGCGAACTCTTTTGATGTTTTTCGAAGTTTTCTAAGATTCTCGAACGACGTGTCCTCGTATATGGGCATTCCATGCTTTGACCTGAAAGGCCTATTGTATTCACATTTTCGCATAAAATGCCTAACACCATTTTAAATGAATTTTTGCAGCAAGTTCCCGAAATTATTGGGTTTGCAAAATAATACGACTGTAAGTAGTACCGGGGCTGATGAATAAAATTATAACTCCTTTATTTAGGAGTATTTTCTTTAAGCTGTAGGCAATTGTATAAGATGTTATATTACAGCATGCACAATATCAAAGCTTCGAATAAATGATGTTCTATTCGAAAGAAACGCCATTTGCGGGAAACCTCGCTTTTTAATTGGAAGTATAGTGATCTTTAACGCTTATGCGCGCCGAATAGTGGATCTCTTAGCATATGCAAAGCCGAAGTAACTATGACATCGTGTAAGCGAATCATTAACATCGTTGATAAAACCGAATCCGCAAGGCGTTTCCTCTTCAGGGAATAGGCATAGGCGTGGTGTACTGCGGCTTGTTCAAACCAATTAAACCATCATGAAAGCGTATTACCAGCAATTGTAACAGAAAGTGGGCGTGCAAAAGTTATGGACTCCTGAGTTTTTAGTATCATAGGAAATATTAGAATATAGTTTCGCTTGGAAAGTCGTACCCTCCTCATTATTAAAAGCAGCAATTACTCTTTCCGATTAACTCGGGTTTCAATAGGCAGGTTATTGCTTGGATTCTTAACCTCAAAAGACGAGACGAAATTAGAAAACTACCTGATGGTCTGACGGTTGCAAAATTTTTCTATTTATTTATTTATTTATTTATTTATTTATTTATTCCACTTATACAAGAAACTCAACTAAAACAAAATGGCAGTCGAGTTCAATTGACTCTTAAGTAAATCTTAAAATTAATTAATAATAAAACTTATTATAAGTAAAATAAAACAAATAAGGAGGAAAAAAAAGAAAAAAAAAAAACCATGTACACAACTAGCATAGAGCCACACCCACAACCGATACAGGACCAAATTGCAAGTGAACCCCTAAGCCATCGCAAACATGCATAAGCTTGGCAACCGATAATTGTTAACAACAAATTAATTTTCGACTCATAATGACATATAGGGTTAAGTCAGTTTAAGTACGACATAGGTAAATCGCGCGTATTAAGCAATGTTGCTTTAATGGACTTTAAAGAGTCCGTTAATGAGAATAAATGATAGACATCATTTAGGTTCTTGCAAACAACTCTGAGCGGGTTAAACGGTTCAAAATTATATTTGCATTGACTAAGCTTTATCAACATAAAGTGCCTAGAGAAGCGGTTAGGGACATTAAAGCCTATCTCACGAAGTAATGCTGGCGAGTCAATTGCGCCATTTATTAATTTGATTAAGAATGAAACCCCAAGAACAAATCTACGTTTCTCGAGTAACGGTAAGGATAACAGAAGCAATCTATTTTCATAGGGTGGAAGAGGGGAAATCGGGTCCCAACCCAAATTCCTAAGGGCAAACAGCAAGAATTGCTTTTGCATAGATTCTATTGAATCCACGTAGCACCTATATGAAGGAGACCACACAACAGAGGCATACTCAAGTATAGGTCTAACCAAACACATGTACCGCCTTTTCGTAATATAAGGATCATCAAGCTCTTTGGACCACCTCTTTATAAAACCAAGCGCGGACCTAGCTTTGCTTAACGAGGACTCAATATGCAAATTGAAACGTAACCTATAATCGCATAGAACGCCTAAATCTATGAACGAATCGACGTCTTCCAACCTGTGCGAATCAATGAAGTATTGAGTACTGAACGACTTCCTTCTTAAGAAAGAAAGCTTCTTACATTTATTTAGATTTAGTTTCAGAAGATTGAGAGAGCACCATGCAACCAAATTGTTCAAATCACTTTGAAGATGATGTGAAAACAGTTTCACATCATCAGGGCAAATCATTGATGTATAAATTAAATAAAATAGGTCCTAAGTGGCTACCTTGAGGTACGCCAGACGTCACGGGAAATTCATCCGAGGTAATGTGGTTAAACAAAACCCTGAATGATCTACCATGCAGATAAAAGCTTAACCATTCCACTAAAAAGAGAGGAAAGCCAGAGGTCTGGAGTTTAAATCTAAGTAGTCTATGATTAACCATATCAAACGCTTTGCTAAAGTCAGTGTAAATGACATCAGTGCGAGAACCACTAGAAAAAGCCTTGAAAACATGAGAAGTAAACTCTAACAGATTGGTCACCGTAGATCTACCCTTTCGAAAACCATGCTGGAAAGGAGAAATGTACAATTTCATGGAAAAGGCTATATGCTGAGCCACAATTCGCTCAAACAGTTTAGGTAAGACACTCAACTTGGCAATGCCTCTGTAGTTCTATAAGGAAAGAAGTCTTCCAACACAAAGGGAAAACACCTAAATTCAAAGACTTATTAAAAATCTTTGGGATAACATCACAAAGCTCGCCAGCACAAGATATAAGTACACATGAGGGGAATCCATCAGGTCCAGGCGAACAATTATATTTCAGAGAGCTCAATACTTCAAAAACGTCATTTTCAGATATAACAAAGTTGGGAATTGAAATCGAATTAGAAATCGGATATGGATAGTTTACCGATAAATCAAAATTGGCAGTTGAAAAGTTCTGTCGGTAGTATTCCGCAAAGAGATTTGAGGTTTCAAAATCATCCGAGGACTCGGAGCCATTAAAAGACACAAACGACGGATTTATGGAGATTTTTCTTTTGGAATTAACGAACTTAAAAAAGTATTTAGGGTTAGCAAACAAGGAGGACTTAACAAACTGAAGGTATCTGCAGTAGTATTGGCGGTTGA